CTCTCTCTCTCTCTCTCTCTCTCTCTCTCTCTCTCCCAACAAACAACACAAGCCCCGCCCCCACCTGTGTACACAGGGGTATCGCCAGCAGTAGACACACGCTCAGCACGCCGGCCATCACCAGGATTCTCCACCGGGATAGCTCCACCCTCAGGTCTGGGGACAAAGGTTCGAATCGTATTGTCAGACTCGGATTCTAATCTGAATCTTGTATTTTCACCGATATCCCCTATCCTAAGCAGTAACTTGGATCCTAACCGGTACGTTCAAATAATTGCAACCGACCCTAACTGGTCGAAGTGATTGCAATAATAATTCTAGACAGTGTCTCTTATCCTTTCCGGAACCCCACACTCTAATCTGTAGGAGATAGTGTATTAACCCGGTAGTGCCAACTGTTACCTCAATTTTTACCCCCTGCGTCCCATCCTTATTGCCATAATAATAGCTCGTCCGTCATGTCCGACGATGACCAATACACCCACAGAAGAGAATATTTCTCCAGCGATTTAGAAGAATTTGAAGAATTGTGACTTCTGTGGTGGCTGTTGAAACCAATTCTGGCGAGGAACATGTAATGGCTCCATTTCCACTTGTGGATGCGAGCAGCTTGCGGCCTCTCTCTTGGTTTCATCATTTCTTATTCGTGAAGCCTCTTATGATTTGCTGCCCAGGGCCCAGTGTGACTGCTGCTCCCCTGCTGGGTCTGCCAGGGGTCTCCCATGTCGAGGGATTTATGTTGAAGTCTTTCAGTGACATTTTCAGGGTGTCCTTGTAGCGCTTTATCGCTAACCCCGACACTGATTGACAACATAGGTCACCGGTGTCATGCTGTCTTTTACTTACTCCATGTTTTAAAACGGTTTTAAGGAAAAATTATCTTGAAGCATTAAAACCCTAGTAGCTGGTACGGAACTCCGTTCAAAATGAAACTGAACGGAACATGGGTATTTTGGGCTTAAAGGGAAGATTTTTGTAAACATCAACTAAACAGCTGTAACAGAAAAACCCACGAAAATTAGAATGAGGCAATCGGATCGAAAGGTGGCAGACATAGCTCAAATGCCGCCTGGTTCGTTTTTTTTGGTAAGTTTTTTGGGCGCTCGCAACTGCTGAAACTCATATGAGTGCACGGGACGCACCAATCATTTTCAGTTGGAGGAAATTTTGAATTTTTCCCGGGTGGCGGCCGAAGCCTACTCTTATCGATTTTCGACCATCAAGGGGTCTTAAACGTGCGCAACTTGCACATGGGACCTTCGAGATTTTTCGCCCTTGTCCGAGAAGGCTAGGTGCAGATCTTACCTACCATAAGATCAGGGGTGTGGCTGAAAGACAGCAGTTAGTAGGAGCCAAGGAAAAGCAGTAGAAAGTTTGCAGAAAGAGGAGCCCAGAGCAGGTGGCAAAGGAGGTGAGGGTGTACGGGCGCAGAGTGGAGAAGAAAACAGACGAGAGAACATTGCTAGAGAGCAGGAAAGGAGGTGAAAGGAGACAATTTTAGAGAAGAAGAATTTCCGTTGCTATCCGGATTCGAACCCGGGACTTAATGAATGAAAGGCGAACACCTTAAATTCTAGGACACGAGAGCCCCCCACCACCCAACTTGGTCTGAATCCCCACTAGGTTGTTTGTTTTATAGCTCTCCACTCATTTGGTTTGGCACTAGTGAGCTGGACGTTAACTTCAGAGTTCTCGCCTCTTAAATATCCTTACGGTGTCGAAAGCGGCGTTACACTGCTGCTGCTGCTGCAGCTGACGATGATGATGATGATGATGATGATGATGATGATGATGATGATGATGATGATGATGATGATGATGATCCTCACCCAAAACAGAGGTCACCACACTCTCCAGGAAGACGACAGCTGAGGTGAGCGAGGTGAGGAAAACGACGATGAAGAAAAGCGATGTCCACAGGGTGGGCAGGGAGAAGGTGGACAGCTCATAGGGCAGGGCCGTGAACAGAAACGACGGGTCTAAGAATGGGGGAAAAGGGGGTAATAATGGTACTGACGGCGGCGACGACGCAGATGTGTTTATGATGATGAAGATTACGATCATGACGATGAAGAGCAGTGTAGTAGTAATAATAGTATTAGTAGATGTAGCAGCAGCAACAGCAACAGCAGCAGCAACAGCAGCA